TTTTTTTTGGGGGGGGGGGGGTCGTGGTGCTCCTCCTCTGCCCCCCCACCTGGAAGGACGAGGCTATGTCTAGGGAACAGACCTCTGCCAGGCCTCAATTACAGGGGGAATAATCCAGGACACACTGAAGCAATTACAGCCCCATATAAATCAATATGCTTCGGGTTAAAGAGTGATGTGCTCCCAACACTCTGCAGAAGCTCTGACTCAGTCAGCCTTTGATTTTTTTTGGAGAGATGGGAGCAGTTTCTCTGGGATTGGGCAGGGATGCTGCTGCGGTTGAATCCGTCACTCAGGCTGAGCAAACACTCAGGTGACACACACTGTGAGGAAGAGCAGAATATAACTATTGATTTGCAGACTCTGAGCCTCTGTAAACCATCTTTGGGAAATTTATGTTGCACAAAGTAACACGCTGACTAAATAAAACAAGCTTCCCCCTGCAAACGACTGTGTAAACAGACGTCTTTATGGAGGCTGTACTGGAGATATGGATGCTAATGAAGGATAAACACTGTGTGATGGATGTGAAAGGAAGAAAGGGCCTCCAATACAAGCTGTGGCAGGGGGAGGAGTGGGGGGGATTCTGACAGCTGCTGTGCTGGCTACTCATTATCACTGCTGTGCTGCCATCTTCTGGTTCAACAACACCACTGCCAAAATGTCCTGTGGTAAAAACAGCTTTAAACTTCTAAAAAAGGTCACAATCAAATCTCGAAATCTGAAACAAAAACACTTTGAAGTCTACCACTCAAAAATATGTTTCCCTATTTTAACTTTGCTAACACTTTACTATAAGGTGAACAGCATTTTGATGAGTTACCATAAAGAATAATGAGGAACTAACTGCTAATAAACCCCGTATTTCTTATTCGTTAAATGCCGCATTTCTTTCATTGAACTGATTTATTGACACCAATACTTTTACATTAACGTGAAGGAAGCAAGAATACATTTAAGATAAACTTTATTTGAAAATGCCATTGAAGCAGAAAATATGAATTGGCTTTGAATATATACATTCCTCATAGATCTTCAATGTGGTTTACAGAGCATGTGACTGTGTAGTTAACAAGGAAAAGAGAACCAACTAACAAATTGGTCAAGATCAAATAACGGAGAGCAAATTAAGAATGAAGTGATTTGGTGATGATGATTCCAGCTCATAATTTATCCTCATATAATATATAGAACTAAAACACAGGGATGTCTATTGAAATTCTATTCTCACTTCCTCAGTGAATGACGGTTCGACTTTCACCTCGTGGCTGAGCGAGTGTTCCCAGAGGGCCTTCTTATGGAGGAAGGCTAACCCACACTCCTCACACACGTAGCTCTTTAGCTTACCGGCGTGCGTCCGCCTGTGTTTCTTCATGTGATAGGACAACCGGAAACCTTTATCACACACGTCACATTTAAATGGCTTCTCTCCTGTGTGGATGCGCATGTGCGACTTGAGATACCCCGACTGAATGAAGGCTTTCCCGCACACCTCGCACTTGTAGGGCCGCTCCCCGGTGTGGTAGCGGTTGTGGAGGCGGAGCTCGTTGGCGGTGAGGAAGGTCTTCCCGCACACGGTGCACTGGTGCGGCCTCTCCCCTGTGTGGATGAGCTCGTGCCTCTTCAGGGACGTCTCCTTCATGAACTGCTTCCCGCAGCTGTTGCAGGGGTACCGGACCCCGATGTGCACCTGCTCCACGTGGTTGGTCAGCTGCAGCTTGGTGCGGTACGCCAAATCACACTGTGTGCAGCTCCAGGGCCTCTCCTCGGAGTGAGTGCCCATGTGCACCGTGAGCTCCGAGGCCGAGCGGTAACACTTCCCACACTGCCAGCACAGGAAGGGCTTCTCCCCGGTGTGTTTCCTCAGGTGCACCGTCAGGCAGTTGGAGGACCTGAACTTCTCGGGGCACATGCTGCAGATGTACGGGAACTCCCCCTTGTGGATCCTCTGGTGGATGGCGAGGTAAGAGAGCTGGATGAAGGTTTTGTCGCACTGAGGGCACGGGAACGGGCCGGTGAACTCGTGCTGCTTCTCGTAGTGTTCCCTCAGGCGCCGGAGCAGGGTGAAGCTCTTCTCGCACATGGTGCACTGCATGGGCCGGTGCATGAGCTTGTGCCTCTCGAAGGCCGGCTCGTTGGCGAGGATCTTCCCGCACTCCTTGCAGTAGAGCGCGTCGTGGATCCTCTGGTGCACTTTGAGCATCGTCATGCTCTTGAACTCCTTCCCGCAGTCGTCACATCTCATGATATCGCTCATTTCTAATTTGCAAACGTTCTCTTGGTGCTCCTTCAAAGCGGACGGGTATTCGAAGTGTTTGCCGCAGTTTGAGCACCACACGGGTATTTTCAGAGGAGTGCCCTGTTGTTGCTCAGCGTCGGCTACTTCGCTCTGGCTGGGCCCTGCTCTCAGCTCTTTCTTCCACGAGAATCGGGTGATTTTCTTGTGACAAATGGCGTAAATCTGGTGTCTCTTTAGCCCATGCATGTGTTTGAAGCGCTTCTTGCAGTGGATGCAATGATACGGACGGTCCTCTGTGTGACACTGTATGTGCCTGTTCAGAGTCTTAACACTGTCGAAGCCCCGAGAGCAGACGGGGCAAACTTTAGGGCCTTTTTTCTTCACTTTCTGCACGGATGCTGAAGCCGATTCCTCAGAACCTTCTGCAGGTACGTCCAGACTTTTCTTATCAAGGTTACATAAATCAGCCTCGGCTAAAATCTGTTCCACCGTCTTGCACTGTTCCTCCCTGATCCCCTCGTGACCGTGGATGATCTGATGCTTCTTCAACGTGTCCTTGTACTTGAAGCCCTTTTCGCATGTAATGCAGATAAAAGGACGCTCTTCCGTGTGAGACCGTAAATGCTTTGCGATGTCTGCAGTGCACGGTAATATCCTGTTGCAGATAGGACACACTTTGCCCTCCGTCGAGCCCTCCGTCGGTGGCTGTGTAGTCGGGCGCTGGATCTCCTTCTTCTTTGGCCTTTTCACCTCTCGGCTCTTACAGATCTCCTGCTTGTGTCTCTTTAAAACGTAAGGATTCTTGAATTTCTTCTCGCAGAAACAGCAGTTGAACGGCCGGTCCTCTGAGTGGGACCTCATGTGCCGCTCCATGTCTACTTGGCGGCCAAAATACTTCCCGCACAGAGCGCAGTTTTTGTTTTCCGACAGCTCAGAAGTGCTGGGATCTGCTTCCTCTTCCTCTTTAGGGCTGGTTCCGTTCTCGTCCTTCTCGTGAACGCGCATGTTGTGCCGGTTCATGTCGTAATGGTCCCTGAAGCGTTTGTCACAGTTGGAGCACTTGTACTTAAACTCCCGGTTAGCAGAGTGAGTTTCCTGGTGTCGTCTCATGGCTGCCGCCCGCAGGAAGATCTTATTGCACACGGGACACGTTTTATTGTTAGGGAACTTTTTCCTTTGCCTCTTAGCCGCCTCAGAGTCGCTTTCTTTTTTAGCTTTCCTCTTAACCTGGAGCCTTTTGCTTTGTTTCAGCGGTCGAAAAGCTGCTGGCTTTAGAGCGTCACTCACATCCTCATCCGTTTCCTCTTCGTTCATTTCACGTTCTTCTTCCTCGTCAGGCTCAACCAGAGGCTGAGCCTGCTCTATCTGTATGTAGTCCAACAAAGTCACAGTTTCCCCTTCCACCTGCACCGTCACGCAGCCCTGCATCTGCTCTGACTGGGGCTGTAGGTGGATTTGGTCTGCGTCAATCACAACCTTCTCCAGCTGAGGGAGGGACAGCGAGGACAGGATGCAGTTCCCAAAGGAAGAGGGAATGCTCTGACTTTCATCTGCGGGGGGAATAAGAATCAGTTTTATGGTAAGCAGGTATAAACTAAAGAAAATTAGATGAGAACAAATATGGTAATTCATTACACTTAGTGGTACCGAAATTAAATGTTTCAATCTTCTAAATATCTGAGAATTGTGCAAGCTAGCATGCTCCCTTTTAATGAGAAATAACCTGGACCGAAACTGAAGATGAAATGGCTTTCTTATATTGAAATAAAGCATGTTTTCTGAATACAGGAGATACCTGATTCAATAAAGATATTATAATAACTTATTATATCGGAGAAAGGATGTGCTATGGTCAGAGGTGACTCACCACATAAATCGTAATGTCCCAGCGTGGTGTGGTACTGGAGGACGGTCCTCAGGTGCTGAGGGTCGGGAACAGAGTGCACACACTCCTCCAGAGCAGAGGGGACCGCACTGAGCATGGAGGCAGTCTGGAGAGGAGGTACGAGATTACAGTAAGAAAGAGTACACATTTTCATTTATGTATAACTTGTGTGTTTTTAAGTGTGGCTACTCAGAAGTTGATTCATTTGCATGCCAGTTGTACTGAACATGTTAAGAACAAACAACTGCATATGTGAGTATAAGGGTTACAGGAATAGAAGGACCAGGTTGATGGGTTATGCTGAGGTTTATTAATGTCAAGAAATACTGATAGTGAAAAAGTTCTAATAAATAGATAAATGTAAACAGGAAGAAAAAAAGTCAGTGAGATTCAATGCACCTTAAAGGTCCCATGACATGGCCATTTCTACTGGTCATAATTCCATTGTTGAGGTCTATTAGAATAGATTTACATTGTTCAATGTTCCAAACTCACATTGGTTTCTCATACATTATCTCTGTATAGTATGTGTATTCACTCTCTGTCCTAAACGCCTAGTTGGAGCTCCCCCCCTCCCTATGAGCCCACTGTGCTCTGATTGGTCAGCTCGCCCACTCTGTTCTGATGAGTCCACCACCGTTACAGCGGAACATCAGTGTTTATGTGTTACAATGGCGTTTGTTAGCAACCAGAAAATGATACCAGTAATGACAAACAGATGAGAATGCTGCGTGGGGTCTGGGTGCCGTGTTGGCGGGACGTTGCGAGGCTCGCTGCTCCACCCTTTGAGGCTCGAGGAGCAGACAGTCTGAGCTGGATTACTGGTGTCGTTTCCTGGTTGCTGCGTGGGGTCGAGACAGTGAGACACCGCGGAACTCAGCCTGAGTACACACATACACTCACAGCCTGAGATAAGATAAGGCTGAGTGAGTGTTTCTCCGCGACCCCAACTCGTCTATTACCAACGTTCAGGGAGCTCTATGCAAGTCAATGGGACGCCCTGATAGTTGAAAATCAACGCTAAAGGTCCCCCCCACTGCGTTTGATAGTGACGCCAAGGGATCCTGGTGTGTGAGGAGCTCCACGGATGGGTCCATTTGGTCGTTGTTACGTCACTTAGACCAGGAAGAAAATAATGGAAAAAGAGAAATGTCCAACGAGGCGTTCTGGGGCAGCATAGACAGGTCTTTTCTGAGTTAGACTTTTACTCGCTACAGGGTGTACTTTGAGGGTTTGTGACTTTGTAGACCGTTTACATGCATAAAAAGCTACTCAACACACAAGGGGACGGGTAATAACCGGAAAAGCATGACATGGGATCTTTAACTGAGCTAGCGTTCCCTATTTGTAATTTGCTCACGATGTAAAGAACATTTATGCTGGTTAATTTGAAACAAAATGAAAAAACCTATTGTCTTGGGTCTGTAAAGAGCATCTCTTTTTTATTCTATGTATCCTAAGCTGATTTATGTTTCGTTACCTGTTGAATGTCAGGTACAGGTAGAAGCTTCTCCAGTCTGGAGAGGAAGTCCAGCATTAGCACCTGAAGAGCACTGTCATAGTCAGGCCCAAAGTCTGTAGGAAAAACCTCCTGGAAGAAATAATCACAGTTTAGTGAACCTTCAACCTCTATTATATATTCTGTAGAATTTCAGATTGCTTCAGTAAATACAGGAATCCATCCTATAAGGAAAAAGTTGAATACAACATAAATTCAAACCTGGAAAAACTTCTCCTTCTCTTCGGGGTCTTTCAACAGCAACTCAATTTGATCAGCAAAGTTGGATTCTGGAAACTCGACCTCTGCAAAACATGGCTGGAGCAAAACAACGCAAAAATATAAATTAAGAAGAAGAAACATGATCATTTGATGAAAACAACACTATGACCTACAGATCACATTTAATGAAGCTAACCTGAGCCGCCCAAGTGGAAACGAGGGTCTTGATCCGCTCCAGGTGCATCTCGATGGTTTCTGTGTCTTGTATCTGCTCCGCACGACACAACTCCAGAACCACCTGCAACACAATGTCCACCTCAGGGTGAACACATCTGACAGCACCGCACCTGGAAATATCATTCACTCAAAGGACTCTGCACTGGAACATTTAAATCTTTAATATCTCTAACCGATGAGACCTACATTGCCTTGCAGGTGATATTTTGCATCAGAAGAGATATTAAAACCCTTCATCAGATGCACCTTGACACTCTGCGAGGCAATCATTTAGCTTTTTATTGTTTATATGCAGTGAATTATGAGGTCATAACCAACTGAGCTTAGGGAGACTGCTAGAATAGGTTTTTACACATAAACATCTGCAAAGAAGGAGCAAACTTGATTTTTCCTTAAAGAGTTCAATAAATGAGTGAAAATATCCTTCAGTCTTACCCGGGCTCGGAGTCCAAGGAGGAGTTGAGCTTTCTGATCAGCGTTCAAAAGATCAGGAACAATTTCTGAGACTGTGCTGATGAACTCCTCCACCATCCCATAGTCATGCACACTGCCCCTCTGCACCACCTGCCACATGGCCGCAGACACCAGGCGCAGCGGGGGGATGAAGAGGCGGAGCGACGGCAGCAGGAGAGGGGAATCTGGAAAATATTTTCCAATGTAAGGATCTGAATTTAAATAATACATATCTGAAGTTAAGCTTTTTCTTTAAATCAAATATAAATTCAATACAATACAATTACTATTTGTACAGACAGGCTTTTACATGAGTTATATTTGTAATGTAAATGAATGAATTACACACCAATAGGAATACAGTATAAATACATGACTGTTATAAATAACACACTTAGGAAACACTGAATACCTAAAGTTTTCATAATACAATTATATGAAGATCATTCAAAATGTAAATCATCAAATGGTAAAACAAAAAACTATTATTTATGTCAGTATAAGTTCAAATTAAAAACACAAAATGTGTATTAAAAGCTGTTTTTCTTAATTGTTTATGATAATACAATTTAAACCATCGACTTCGGAAATGTATGTATTTTTCGCAATTTGTTGACATCGTCTTGTCTTTAATATTCATTAAACATACCATGGCAGGGATCCTGCAGGTTTCGCCAACTCAAATTTAAGACTTTTTAAGACCACTTTGAATAGAATTGCAGACCTATTTCACGGCAAGAAAGTATGAAGGAAAATTGCTATGAAAGAAGAAATACGTCCCATAATTACTTGCAACATAAGAGCAATGAGCAATGACTGAACATAAGAACTGTGTTAGAAAAAAAGTGTGTATGTGTTTCTCTCTGTGTGTGTGTGTGTGTGTGTGTGTGTGTGTGTGTGTGTGTGTGTGTGTGTGTGTGTGTGTGTGTAGAGGGCTGAGCAATTCATCGTATTTTAATCGCAATTACGATTTTGGCCTGCCACAATTACGAAAACAACATAATCGAAAAAAACGATTATTTTGCTTTGCTAGGTTGTGACAGTGCACTACAACATATTTGATCTAATTCATTTTAGTCTAATTCATTTTTATTCATCATATTTATATATGTTTAGTAGCTTGTGGAAGTGCACTCCAAAATATTTGTTGATCTTGTTTATTGGTATTTATCATTTATTTTTGTATTGGTTTTTCAGTTGAATTATACGTTCAGGGTAATCAACAGTTACAAAAATACTGTTCAAATTATTTATTTGTTTTAAAGTTCAATAAATGGATGTTTTCAAAGTCAATGAATAATCCTATTTAATAATAATAATAATTAATAATTGATTATTGTGACTGCCGCTAGCTGAAGCTTGGTTGCTAGGTTACTAGCTGGGTGTTCTCCGATAAGGGGTCGGGGGAAACAAAGTCAGTGATTACTGGTTCCATGTTGATTTATTTCAATACAAATTGTTGGGGGGAACTGAAAGTAACCGTACTGGTTGGTTACTTTGCAGCCCGTACATTTTCCCCAAAACACATTAAGACGCTATCGCAACATAGAAGTACCTTTCAAATCCCATCATATTTAAGACCTTTCTTATTGTTTTGGTCATATTTAAGACCTTTTTAAGGCCTTCAATTCGGATTATCAAATGTAAGACTTTTTAAGACCCCGCGGGAACCCTGCATGGTTCAGTGACTGATAGCTTCAGCCAAACTTATAGTAAAAGGACAAAACAGCTGATTACTATAGAAGCTCAAATAAACATTGCCAGCTGAACCTAAATGACCCAAGGATAACATATATTAATTATAGTGTAGCAAATAAAACACAGGTACCATTTCTGTCTAAACAACAATAAAAAGAATGTCTTAAAACTGTCATATTCCTGACAAATGTTTATCCTGGCCATGGTTGCCTTCATGGACTGGCAACTGTGTCGTAATTAACAATCATCACACATGATCACCATATCAAGTGATGAATATGGCTTCGTCGTGACTTTGCTACACAAGTTGCTGGAATAGTAAGGAAGTTGTCCTTTTTTGGTAATGTATCACGACGTTCCTTTAGCTGGAATGACAAACGTTAGCTATCTGTCTTGTATTTTTGTTTTTAGCCACTAGCCAGTTTTAGCTATGGAGTTTGAGTTGTAGCCTCAAAGGCAGCATCTGTCAGCCGGTTACACTGCTAGCTTTTAGCTAACTAATGTCAGAAAGATGCTCAACTCGTTTCGTTAAAGCATAACTCTGATGATAAAATGCCAGTGTGCATTAACTAAGTAGCTAGCTAAAACTCGCTTAGCTAACGGGAAGTTCCTTATGGTATCTACCGGACACATCGCTAGTAACTTAGCACAAAGCCACCGCCATCTCACAGCGGCGTACGCCATGTTTAGAATCGGACGCACACAATCCTAAAGAAAACCCCATAACTCTAAATGAGTAATACATGTTGAAACTATTCTTGGCTTACCGTTATCACAGCGATAGAGGCTCTGCATTTTATATCGCAAAAATGTTCAACTAGAGGAAGAAATGAACTCGGGGTTGTTGTGAGTTAACGTCCGCCCGACCCTGCGGCGCGAGCTGGTGGGGAAGAAGGGCGGCTCGATAATCGGTGTGGTGCAGAGTGCGCATGCGTAGTAAACGAAAACAAACCCTGGTTTTATTCAGTAACGGCGGTTAATTACGGGTCTGTGTTTACTCATATGGCCTGTTGAGACATGCATTATGTTAATTTCAGTAAAAAAAACACAAAGTGAAATTATTTGAATAACTTTAGAGTTGGCTGCAAAGGAGACATCTTCTTCCTCTTCGCCATGGGAATGTCAGGCTTACATAAAACTGCACTGCCACCTAGAGGCCATTTAAGGAATTGAGCCCTAACATTGATTTTAAAACCATAGTCCTCTGGAAATAACATAATTAAATTATTCTTTTTTCGTTGAACTGAACGGTTTACTCAAGCAATTTCATTATTAAATCACGTTGCAATATATGTCATGTATTCTGATGTATTGTTTGAGTTTTTGTAGATTCGGAATAAGTATGTATCCACTTATTTTCATGTGAAGTTATGGCGAGGAGGATATAATTGCCCTTTTAGTCCTCTCATAGATTTGGGAACTGTTTGGTTCAGCTCTAATATTATATCTGTCAAATTCTGCACAAGTACATCTACCATGTAGCATCATTGTATTAGCTATTCAGGTTTTCTTTATGCAATAAGTGCCTTCACATCCCCAATGGTGTTGTTACAACCTATATTCACATTCACCTTACCGACTACTACCAGATAAAACATTGCCCAAAATACTTATGCTACTAATAGGTGTAAATGAACTATTATAATTGCTAAGGTGGTATAATATTTTCATGGATGAATTGCCAGTTCCTTTTTGTTGCAGTGTATTCCTGTGGAGACATAACAAAACAGGAATCCCCTTTTAAAAGGGGGTCACAGCCAAATTATCCTCAAGACTTTTTATGACCTTGTTTTTCTTCATCAGTCTCACTGTGACAGTCTGCTGGCTCTGTGAGGGCGCTGTCACGACTTTAAGTACTTTGAGTCATTTGCTCGCTGGAAGTAAAAGGATCGATAAAACATCCTGCTGCTGGGCTGAAGCCAGATATGTCACATTTTCATTCAGGGGATGCTGCAGTGTCCTTGGAAAAGAATACAATTATTCCAAGGAAATTTTGCTTTAGTTGCTTTCGTCTGTTATATATGTGTTGCTGTAAATTGTCCCTAAATTGTGTCTACCAAATTCTAAGTAAGCTTTATTATAAATAAAGCCAAAAAAAAGACTTTCATACAGTTTAAACTCTGGTCATTTATTAGCTGTCCACAAAAGCATGTCATGGAACAACAGAAACTGCAGCATGAGTGTAACATTCCTCTGTGTTGTTATACTCTACCACATCCCTGCTTCTCACACCATGTATACTTTATATTTCATATATATATTTTGTACAATATACATGTTCTCATCAAAGGAAAAAAGAATAGCAAAAAAGTTCAACCCCCGTCCCCCTCGTTGATTTGAAATTTGGTGAATATCCCATGCATGTTTCCACTGCGTCTAGGAGAAGTGTTGTTTATTACCAGGAACAAATACGCAGGCACATAAATGCTCAGACAAACTAAGAGGAGAGTGTTGACAAAGCTGGTTTACAAAGCACATTCTCAACAACATTAAAACAAGAACAGCCATGCAAACCCACATTTAACGGCTTTGACCCCGTTTCTAATCAAATCGCAGCACAGGGGCAAGCTAACGTTAGCCTTTTTAATAGCATCACATTAAGACTAAATAAAAAAAGATTCTGGCTTATTCTCTTATTCTAAAGCCATATTCAGCTGCTGTTTATCACAATAAGACTAGCTCACTGTTATAATGCTTCTGAACTTGTGAGAGTAACACTTGCACAAGAAGTGCTTGACATCATTATGAACCTTTTTATCTCAGTGGAGACAAAATGGCTTGCATCTTTAAGTTGCATTTACCCTTTAAAGAACGTTTCACTTAAAATGTGGGAATGTTTGATGATTCGGTATAAAGCTTAATGTTATTTATTTCAGCTTCGGTGTTAAATCAACAAACTGGCACCCTGTAAGTTATACAATTTCTTTTAAAATGATGGAAATACATAAACAAATGTAATAAATGGGACAGAAATGTGAAGACAACTATTATATTCAGGGTTTTTCAGTCACTCATTTGTTTTTGCTATGTGTCGTTCAATTCACATTTATACTGTAGCTCAATATCCTGTGGCATATTATTCACCATACTACTCAGAGTAGTACAGTTTCACATACATTTTGCTTGATTTCAAAGCATCTTTTTTATATAATCTTTTATAACTTTTGTAAAAGAAAATAGATGTGGAATGTAAAATAAAATATAGAGTGCTATGTAAGTAGGTAAGAAAATAAAGCCGTAGGTTAATATCTATATTTCCCTTTCTGTAACTATTTATAGAACTTTAAACCAACTCTTATATGCTTTTATGTTTCTGTTCAAATGTGGTTGGGCCAAACACATATATAATTTATCCATTTTGAGTGTGCTACAATGATTTAAGATCTGTTCAAAGGTAGAGTCGGATTCCTGTAGGAACAACATCACAAACTATGAGGGCACAGGAGACACCGGAAACAAAAGGATGTTTCATTTTTTTGGTATGCTGCTGGACTAAAGATATTGCACATTTTTGTAAATATTAAACTTCTGTTGCATTGTTACATTCAATCAAATACTGTGGGTTCAAGATTCCTCCTAAATACAGATGGATGGTATCTTAGTGACGGGGCTCAATGTAGAATAAAAACAACAAAGGCTGCTGCTGAAAAGAAATGTGGCCAGTTTAACATTTTGGTCCTTTCAGATTTGATTAGTATTATATAATCCACATGTAGTTGATAGGTGTGTAGAAAGAATTATGTGGAAAAAAATGTTGAATTTCTGCACTGAGTTGATCAAAGACACAATATTTTGGGAGCAGATGTTTCCCAGGATTCACATGATTAAAAAACACATCTTTATACTAAAGCTGCTGGCTCTGACTTCACACGGTCACACCTGAGACAGATAACAAAACGCCTCGAACCGTCACATTAATAATTTATATAGACATCTGAATGTGACAATCATTATTTGTTAAAACAAGTAGAATACAAATGAAACCTGGGTATGAAACTTGAACTGGTACATTTCAGATCTCTATTTGGACATTTATTGATTGTCTCATTTTAAGTATTTTTCTTTAATTAATTATTGCTGTGTTAATAGTCTCAGGTGTTTGACATTTTGCCCTTTATTTTTAGTTTGAATATAAAGATGTGTTGTCTTAAATTGTGAATTTGATGACAAATGAAGGTCAATGGTTTAAGACATATAGAGTGTTTCCAGAACATTTTAGGTACAATTTGAAAGGGTGCGTTAAAGCAAATGGAAGGGATGCACTACACATATGAGTCACATAACTGTATCTCTAATAAATTCACTGTGATGGAATTCAACCTATCCTTGATGTTATTGAGGTAAAGCCGTGACTTTAAAATTCATCTGAGTGACCTACCCTGATCTTATGGAATTCATCAGAAAAAACAAAGTAATTGATGGCCTTTTTGACTGGTCGTTTTCCGGAACAATCCACACGCTGCTCAGCCTACCCATCTACACGGAAAGCACACCTAAAGCGAAACGGAGGATTCAAACAAACAAGATTAAACATGCAACGTTTGCATAAACAGACACATACAAACTGTTCAGGAGAACATTCAGTGAGACTGGTGTCATCAGCCAAACGGGTGTGGGAGTATACTGTACATCAGTTTACAAAAAAGAACGACCAGCACGATGACTTTAAGGACGTATTTACACTTTGCTTTGAATAAAGTCCCTGCCAATCCAAATCCATCTCAGCTCAGTCAGATTTGCAGTGGGTAGAAAGTTAATAAGCAGCGTTTCCCCTTCTCCCCTCTGCGAAAGTAGTCCGTGAAGAACGCTCTGCATAAAAAGCAATATCAGGGCAGCTCAGTTGAGGAGGTGTCATGCAAAGAACAGTGTTAGTGGAGTTATCACAAGTTAATTTCCCAGTTGGACATCCGTGTTTCCAGCATACGTCAGCATAGATTCCACTGAGCGGTGAAACTTCAGGTGTGGAAGTTCCTGTGATCAGTTTGGCCTCTGCACACAGTAGATATAACACAGTGAAACTTATAGAAGTGACAGAAATGTAAATAAGTCCACCTAAAGTCCGTCTGCTGGCATTGCTACGAGTCACTTTTATTGGTTGTATGGTAGGAATATATTTTGGCATGTGTCAAACTATACTGCGATGGCATCCACTTCCATAAGATGATGTTTGTAAACCTAAAGTCTCATATTAGAGATGATGAGAAAGCTGCTTTTATTGAGTCAAAATCCTACTTCTAGAACCTTTTTAAGCAAAAAAAGGTGTACAGAATTAATTCATGCATGTATCCTATATGAATTTCATAATCATGATTAGGTCTAAGTGATACTGCTGAGTGGAGTCAGTATTTGACAGTTCTCGTACTGTGAGGTGATCAGTGCCATTTTGACGAGGAAGAGAAAGTTCTCTATTTGATTTTGTCATCTTTATCCCTTAATGGGGGGGGGGGGGCTGCAACAGGCAGAATTAAAGGGAATCCCTGACATAAAAACCTCCGACAGCCCCCCCCCTGAGCAGTGGGGGCGGGACAGCTGTGGCTGGATGTTGGAGGCGGTGTTACATGGACGCTGCGCCTGGTTGAAGGGCTTCACACCACGGAGCCCTTGGAGGTGGAGAGGTGGATGGAGTGGATGCGGGCGGCCAGGGTCTTCTCCAGGTCCAGCAGGATGTCGGAGCAGATGCCGGGGCTAGAGGCGGGGCTCTCGGGGGCGGGGGGCTCGTACAGCAGCTGCTTGAAGCCGTCCAGTTCAACGAGCAGCACCATGTTCTTCAGGAAGTAGCCCTCGATGAAAGTCGTCAGCTCCGTGGCACCGAGGAACTGTGGTGTAAGAGATGAGGGGGTTTTACTATTCTGAAGGGTGATAAGAACATCAATATGAGACTTTTTATATGATGGAAGTATCTTTCAAATGATCAAACATTGTTTTTGTATTCCTGGTTAAAATCAATGCAGTGTTGAGTGTTGAGTGTTGTGCTCTGTAATTTTGGCAAAGCTCCCTGGGAAACAAGACTTTTGAGAACATGCTACAATGATTATGATCAGCAGGAGAGCCACTCTATTTGTTGTTGTTTTTGACAGGCTAAATGCCAACTAAAATGGGTAAAACAGTATATTATGAATATTGGAAATAGGAAGGCCTACATCTGTCGTTTAAAAAAAATCAATTTAGCTTTTGGACTTAACAATGCACTTGAGTCATTGGACATGTTGTTTGGATTGCTAGCCATGACTAGAATATAATTCTACTGAACAAACGAAACAAACAAATAAAAATGGTGGTCTTTAAAATCCAAATAATGAGTGAAAAGATGCTAAATGCTCTGTGAAAATGGGTGATAATTATCTAAAGATTCACACATACAAATAAATTGCTCCCTTGATAATATAAAAATGAGCAATAGAGAATCTTTAAGAGACGGTTTGATTTGTGTGAAAGGTTATTACGGTATTATTAATTTAAACTGCTTATTAACAATCTGTCTCACCTTGGCGTGCTTGTAGAGGTCCACACAGGTTTCCGTGGTGATGTTCTTGGAGCAGATGATCTCACAGTGTCTCTGAAGGGCCTCGAGTTGGAAGAATTTGGCTGCAGAGAGGAGCTGCAGGGAACAGTAGAGCCAAACAGAATGAGGCACAGGACTCGGGATTAGAAATGCTAATACTGTCTCTCTGCAGGCTGCGAGCGAGTCCCTCTTACCTCCATCACTTCAGTGTTGCGTATGTGCAAAGACTCAGTGCCTCCACAGTACAGATACTGCATGACCAGCTGAAATACAGAGGACAGGGCTCAGTCAAGCATTAGACATTACATCCATTAATCAATCCACAAACAAATAATCACTAGGCAACACTTTTCACAAGTGAGTATCTTTAAAACAAATTTTCAAGCTAAAATCTTAGAAAATGCAGTTTCTAAGCCCTCAAATATGGAGATTTCCTGCTTTTCTCTATTTCATATAATAATAAACTGAATATCTTTGTATTTTTGACTGACACAAAGTGCATTTTAAGACATTAACTTTGATATAAGGAACTGGAATGGAGTTTTTCTTATATCTTCTGACATTTTATGGACCAAATAATTAACATATTAATCACTAACACAATTTGCATCCCTAACCTATGGCAGGATTTTGATTGTTACAGTTTTCATTGGGTCTTTCTATCCTGGAAGACTTTATTTGCAGCCCTTACTTACTGCATTTTATAACGAAACCACAACGTACCTACATTGTTTTTAGATGATAACACATTTCTTACATGGAAAATATTGTACTTGACGTGGCTGATCTCGATGCAGGTGTTCTCTGCTGCTGGTCGGTTCTGGAGCAGCGACTTGAACCTGAATGAAACAGAAGAAATAAGTAGTACAGCTGTGTAAGGAAAGAAATACAAATAATAGCATACTAAACAGTTGTATCGTCCTTACCTGGCTGAAGCTGTAAACAGCAACACTTTATGTGCATAAAATGGTTTCCCCTCCACCAGGAAAGTTACATCAGACATGTCCTTGTTGTTGAGGAAGTGGGGGTCTGAGGGAGATCCAAAAAACACACCAAAGATGTCTCATTACTCAAGCCTGCTAAACTACGTAGGCAGAACAGCAAACAACAGAAGATTAAGCTAATGTGGTCATTAAGTCTTTCAAGGGTGATTCATCGCTATCAGGGACGCTTTATCAAATACAACAATTCACATTTCATTAGCATTCTAAAAGGCCGGCGGATTAATTTAAATCCGCTCCTCTGAGCCACTTCTTTAAATTGTAACCTTGAACATCTTGATCAATTAATTAGTTGTCAAAGGCATGATTCTCTGAGTAACAAACGTTAGGTTATTGTAAATGATCTTAATACTGATAATTCAAACACTAGGTGGTGGTGCTGCTACATTTCACTTCTCATGCTCTAATTATGTGAAATTAAAAACAAAATAAAATGTGGAAATGTCTATGACCTTCCTTACTTTAAAGGAGCTTTCAACACCTGATCAGACTGATAAATCAAGTCCTTACGAACATGCAAATACCTGCTGAAACATGATTTTCATTAACGTTAAATAGGATTTTATAAATGTGTGAGGTCTCCAGGCAGCCTGCAATCCCATACGAAAATGCTAACGTTACTGACTCCAGCAGGCATAAGAAAGAGTGAGATTTTGTAATACCTTGCAGAGGTTTTTATTATGCAACCAAAGGGAATGGGTTTTAAAACTTGGTACAAGGAGACCGTGAAAAAAATCTTATTTTAAACTGATTTATAAAATGCCAAGAAGAAATTGATGCATTTGTTAAACAGAGGTAAAAATAACCCATGTGATCTGCTTTTGAATCATTAGTCTGTGACATTTTGATCAGTATATATTTGACATTTTGAAGAGATGCATTACAAAAGCAACTCAAATTAAAATCAGCTCCAAGAGCTGGAAAACAAAGTCACAGAGGAAAACTGGAACCCATATCCTAGCAAGTGATTAACAAGTGATCTCTGACCTTTTCAAAAGTTGGGAGACATTTTCTTCCCGGAATAACAAGAATCTCTCAGGTTGCCACTTTACCACTAACCCTGCTGTCAGGCCGTCAGCTTCATCAAAACAGGAGAAGCCGTCGAGGAACAGAAACTATTTTTAACTCGCTCTCTTACCCAAGCGCGAGGTTTGCTTCCTCTTGAGCTCTGTCAGCTTTGGGATGGGGAAGGGTCCGTAGCACTGGGTGAAGATGACTGACAGATGCTGGCTTATCACCTCGTTCTGCAAACACGAGTGAGGACAGAAACTATACTGGTTACAGTTTTCCATGAGCATATGTAAAAATATATTAATGTGTTTGGAGTGCAAATAAATATATGCTAATATGAGAGTTAAAGGTCTCCTATCATGCAAAATTCACTTTTCAATGCCTTTTATACATAAATATGTGTCCCCGGTGTGTCAGGGAACTCGCAAAGTGTCAGAGAACCTCTCTCTTATACCTTATACCCAAATCTCTAAAAACGGGGGTACAACGGAGCAGATCCAGATTTGCTGCCGATTTGACATAATATCGGAAATGTGGACTGGCTTTACGCCCGCGGCCCTATCAGAAACGTTGCTATCAGAAACAATGCCCGACGTGTTTTGGAAGTAATATGGTCTTTGTTTAAATAATCTTTAATGTGGTTTTGAACATGATATGGCGTTTAATCACGGCAGCATTTAGCTGCATCCGTTTTGTTTTTTAAAGCTTTAGACCCAGAATCAGCACTTCTATAACAGGGCTGAAATATAGGGGTATGAGGGATGTCTAAAATGCACGATCTGGTATTTTGAGCAAAACACACCATAGACATGTTTTTTATATATATTTTTATATATCTGAGACTAGGGATGCATACCGGTATCCGGTATTACCAAAATACCGGTTACTGGTGGCTACGGTATACCGTACCGAAATCAGATCCGGTTTCGATACTTTATAAAAAATTAAAAAATAAAAAAATATATTTTTTAAATTTTTTAATTTTAAAAGTGAGTCCGTGGCCCGTGATGGCGGGTGTTATAAATTAGATTGCATAATCGTTTTTCTTCATATTTTATGTATTTTTCATTGTTTGTTCAATATTAGAAAGGTAAGTCCCACAAATGAACTGTGATGGGATTTGTTTTCTCCAGTGAAGGCAAATGTTGATTTTAAAGATGAGATTTGTTTGTTTGTGCAATGTCGAGATCTCATGGCCTTTATTCTATTATTTATTTGTTCTCTAGTCGAATCTCAGGTTTAACATTAATTATAACGGTGCTATAATGGTCTGTTTGCATTGACAAGGTGTGCTATTCACGCGGCATGATGGCGGGCGTTAAAAAAGATATTCCATAATCGGTTTTCTTCATATTTTTAATGTATTTTTCATTGTTTGTTCAGTACTAAAAGGTCCAAGAAGTCCCACAATTAAATGTAATATTCATTTGACATGTTAACTATATCGTAAAGCGCTTCATGGGAGTAATTGTGGGATGATACATTTTCAAAGTATCACGAAATGTATCGGTTGAGTATCGGTATCGTAAAAAAGTCAACGATATGCATCCCTATCTGAGACCCATAATATATGCCTAAAAATAGCATGATAGGAAACCTTTAATGACACTGTAGCACATGAACGCAGGACAGTTTGTATTCCCAGTCTTATGAGTCTGACGTTTTCTGTAACAATTTGTTGACATGCACATGAAAGAAAAGCCACGGTCACCTTGCTGGTCCGGAGGATCTGGAACATGAGCGGCAGGCCGAGTGTGATCAGCTCCTCGGTGTACTCGTCCTCCTGGATGCAGCTGAAGTCTTTGAGCAGGCCCTGGATCAGCGGCCGGCGGTGCTGCATGAAGCAGGTACGCAGGGACTCCAGCCAGGTGTGCAGCGTCCAGGGAACACCTGGGAACACCAACGCAGCAACAGTGAACACACAGCAGAGCAGAGCGGAGCGTTTCAGGGGAGGCACCGACCATGTTTCCATCAGTGAACTGAGGGGCGATCGCATGGTAATTAGTGGTAAATCAGAGGCTTCAGCGGGAATGCTAAACACCACTTGTGTAATTAAGGAGTGTAAAAAGAATGGCTACAGTATGATGAGTAAATGTGTATGTGAGATTAACATAAATAATGGCATGACAGAAGAGGCTTTGTGTTTGATATCTGCTGAAATGAGCAGATTAATGCAGTAGAAAGCTATTTTTGTTATTGAGTTATCATTTATTGAGCGGATTCCAGCTTCTCAAATTTGACTATTTTTTTTTATTTTTAACGTTTTATATATAAATAGTTTTGTTATCTCTGGATGATAGGATTTTGGTCAGAGAAAACAAGCAATTTCAAGATGTCACCTTAGGTTTTGGGAAATTATGATGTTTTTTCTATTACAGTTTTGACAAAACAATCCCACCACAAGGTCCATTTAGAAGCTACAGCCAGAAGATGGTTAGCTTAGCTTCGCACAAAGACAGGAAACAGTTAAGACTTGAAAACACTGGCGGCAGACTTGCACGGAGAAGGCGGACACACACGTACACTTATACAAAAAACTGTTTGCATACAAAGACATGTGCTACACACTAGAAATGATGATGGGGAGCTCCTGACAGCAAGAACAGGAGTTCCTTTGTTGGTTGTTTTTGGCTTCACAACATGAACATGTCAAAACAGAAAACAGTGTGGGACTGCTTTAGGAAAATAGGAGAATATAGTACAAGAGCTCAGTGTACTTTTCTGCTCAAGGACCTGCAAAGGGGTCTATAAAGACAGTCTTGTGTATGTCATAAACCTTTATGAATTCACCTGCGCCTGTTTCTATACAAATGCAACAAATTCAGCTTACCAGGATCTCCAAGAAACTTGTATCTCCATTCTTAGCGAGTATTTCTTAAAGGTCCCATGTCATGCTTTTCCGGTTCTTAACCGTCCCCTTGTGTGTTATGTAGCTTGTTCTGCATGTAAACGGTCTGCAGAGTCACAAACCCTCAAAGTACACCCTGTAGCGAGTAAAACTCTAACACAGAAAAGACCTGTCCATGCTGCCCCAGAACGCCTCGTTGGAGATTTATCTTTTTCTTCCTGGGTACAGTGACGTATTTACTGTAGGTATAGTGACGTAACGTAACGGCTCCAAATGGACCAATCCGTGGACTTCCTCACACACACACACACTCAATCTTTTCTCAGCTGCAGCTCCGCGGATTTCTCAGCCTGAGACGGTGGGACGCGGCGAGGCTGTGAGTCTGTGTGTGTTCGGGCTGGGTTTCGCTGTGTCTCGCTGTCTCGCAGACGGCCACTGGGATCACAGGTAGAGGGGGGGGCAGGAGCTCCAACGAGCCGTTTAGGACAGAGAGTGAATACACATACTATACAGAGATGCTGTATGAGAAACCAATGTGAGTTTGGAAAATTGCACAATATAAGTCTATTTTAGTAGACCTCAACAATGGAATTATGATCAGTAGAAATGGCCATGACATGGGACCTTAAACTAAATCTTTACATTTATAGCTGGCAAGTCATTTGTCTTTCAAAGCGTCATGCACAAGATTCCACCTGGGTGAACTAGATACTACAAACATAAAAACCAGTAGTGTAACAATAAACAAATTGATACACCTACATGAAGTCAAACAAAGTCCAACACGATCCAACTTCTTTGGAAACAACAGAGCTCTGAAGCAATGCGCTTTTAACACATCAAACAATAAGCGACCTGCTACGCTGATAGTAGGCATTTTTAACACTTTCTGCAAAAAGGCGGCACTGAAGTCTACCTTCAATACAAACAACTAATGGAGACATTCTGAAGACAACTCAAGATAAAGCCTGACTCTAAGATTGTGCTTTAATGGACAATAGAACAACAAGCCCACATGAATTAAAAAACCTCTCCCAGATCTCACAAGTGTAACATTTCTATAATTTCAGGAAAATTGTTGCAACTCTATCTGCTGAAAAAGTATCCAACCAATAAGCAACTAAAAGGTTCTTATGAAGAGACTGTTTTGTCAACTCAGATAAACTAGTCATTAATCCTAATCAGCCTCATCAGTAAAAATGAAGTGGAAAATGTTGGGGTGAAATCTGATGATTGCCACATGTATAAAATGAGCTTGAGGACACTTGGGTAAATAATCCTTTCTTACACCTTTAATCCAAGCTATAGAGTGGTGCAGGAATGAGTCAGCATTTTGGCACTTCTGGTTCACAAATGTAATGTTTTTGGTTAGATGCCTGAAATACGGTCTGAGGTAAACACACGCTTAAAACATGTTCAGCCCACTATGTGTCTGAAGCTATTATGTGACATAAAAACAGTGGTTGCTAACAAGTCACGATCATTAGCCGCCTTTAGCTGAGCGGTGGTGACGTGAAGAATTCAAGTGAATTTGTCCGTGATGTAGTTAGTTTATAGCCTACCGTAGCTTCTTCTACTTATAAGACTACACTTAAAAAATCAAAAAGGTGTTGTTAAAATGCGGAGGTTATTTTGCTGAACGAATTGTCTAAGTTTGATAAAGATGTGTTTGCCACAGATCTTATTTACTGCTATATTCTGAAACCAACTAGAAAAATCCCAACGCTTTTTGACGAGGGAGACGTTAACTTACAGGTCAGCCAAAAAAAAAACATCATCACTGAACCTCTCGATTATCACCTTGGATATAAAAAGCCAGGCCCTGCGACTGTTTGATGGTTGGATGAGTATTGGTGAGTGCTGAGCGCATGAGCACACCACCAGGACAGCTGGAGGCACAGGACAGCCATGCATGTGTGCCAGTGAAGCATGTATTAGTAAATCTGACCTAAGCTGCGGATGTCTATGGTGATGTCCACATGGCCGTGCTCTGCGCTATGGTACATGGCCTCTCTCAGGGCCCTCAGTCTGGCCTTTCCTGTTCGCAGCGTCCCTCCTCCGTTGGCCTGCGGCGGCAATCTCTTCTCCCCGGGCTCCGAACTCTCGGCCAGGATCTCCTCCAGGGACAGCACGTCGCCCTTTTCCTGCTCCGACTGGGACAGGAGCTTTCGAAATACATTCCTAGACGAAAAAGAGGAGAAAAATTTAACCCAGACAGAGATTATTTCAGTTTTATGGTCAGGTTAAGAGATAAAAAAAGAATTGAGTTGTAGGAGGGTCGGAAAACAAGCACAGCCTGGGGTCAAATATGCTTAGAGAAGTTGTGAAGTGGATGATCACAGAGCGGAAAATGTTTCTAAATTAGGCTTACACGCACTGTGTTAACTCCACATTAAGCACATCCAGCTCTCCAGCGCTGATGACACTCAAAATATTCTCATGGGTTTAATTAAGCAAGATGGTGCACTCTGTTCACAATATTCTCAGCAAATTCATAAGTATCTTTTTATAATTTTAAGAGCAGCGGTACTTTAACAGAGCAAAATGTGTTGAACATTTTTTATTATTTATTATTATCATTACTTAATTAATTAAATGTAAACATTCTTTAGATTGTGGATTGGGAATGACATACAGTAGCTATTATAACGTTTTTTGATAATTCTTTTATTTCTTACTCTTTTGAGAAATCAGTATTGTAAGGAATCTTAATTCACCAAACACAGAGTATGAAAAAACCGAAATATATAGAGCTGAAATCAAAGATCTCCTATGTAAAAAAAAAATTCAAAACTGTGGAAATGTCGCAAATGCACAATTCATTAGAGCTGTTTCTGCAACAGAATGAGCGTTCCTCATAACGTATACTGTGTGATTGAAGCCAGAGGATGCATCACCGCACCATCTGCTTTAGTTAGTAGGGGGTTGGGGGGGGGGGGCAAGGATCAGCACGACATCATATCTTGTTCTTGAGATTGTTTGATCACACTGATGACAAGTTAGTGGGAGGCTCACTGCCGTCACTTTGAAGCTGTTCATAACATTTTGTTGATGTCCCTGGAGTTCAAGCATACTGCAGCGGTATCTTCTCTGGTTTAGAGCATCGTTCGACATTACATGGGCAAAAATATGAAGACACCAAACATAACACCTCTAAAACTAATTGGGATCGAGCTCAAATCTTTAAAAAGCAGCCATACCGAATACAATTTTGTGCAATGTCCTTATATTTTTATGTCATGCAGGCTAGGTCCACAACAGTTAAAGGAAATACACTTACAGTATATACATTAGAAGATCAGCAATTTAAGCTAGTTAATTAAGTTAATTAATTATTAATGTATCTATTTAAACATTATAGTTTAATTTAGATAAAACTTCCTTTTTAAATTCCAGCTTATCGTACAGATTCATGTGAACTTTGGCCAAACGTGTCTTGGTCAGATCTGGCAAACTAACTCTAATAAAAGCACGGAATAAATGAATGTCAATATTCTAATCTAATTTAAGGTAAGACTAGTCACATTTCTGAAGAAGTTTAAAGGGTAATAATTATATATTTTTAATCCTGACGGCTAATTTCCAATTCTTCTATTTCTTTTTGCCTTAAATAAAAACGTCATGTCATGTGATCACTTTTAAACCCAACCATCTCAAACCAATTCTAATGAAGTTTGAATGCACTCACACATTGCTGCAGAATGATTGCCACACTGTAATTGACTGTCTTAATAATGCTGTATTGTGTTTGTGGGTACCCACTCCACTTCCTGACAGCTCTGACTGCTCTGAATGTTAGCAGGCTTAATCTCACTGTGCTGCGGGGTGAATGATGTAAAACTGTTGCCATAAGTGAATGCTGAATGGACCGCAGCTCTTATCGTCGGCTGTAGTCTGACAGCGAGGGATCGGCCTCTCATAATCTGCACGACTTTGCGAGAGGCAGATTGACAGAGCACAGTGTGTAAATGGATCAATACTGTGGTAATAGATACATCTCCGCTGACTGGCACTGTAAGTGTGTGTGTGTGTGTGTGTGTGTGTGTGTGTGTGTGTGTGTGTGTGTGTGTGTGTGTGTGTGTGTGTGTGTGTGTGTGTGTGTTTTCCCGTATTACCTGTGGCCATGTGCTGCTGCCAGGCTGAATGAGTTCATGTCGCCCAGCGGGAGGGAGGAGATGCCGTTTCGACACATGGTCCCGATCATCGGGTCGGCCCCTCTCTCCAAAAGCAGACTCACCAGCTCAAAGTTACCTAACCAGGGCGAAACATGAATAAAGGTTGAATACACTAAAATACAGCAAACATCGGATGTTTTACATCCATTTACGTTGATCAGTGATGTAACGGAACTATGTCCATTACCACATTGTATTATAGCTAGCCTATGAACATTTCTGACATATCTCTATCAAATAATTTCAATTTTTCGCTACTTTATACTTTGACTCCATTGCATTTCATTTCATTTTAAAACGTTTAACGTTAAAATGCTCATTCATGTATTCATAACATTCTGCATAATATGTAATCTTGACTTTTTTAATATTCATGACAATGCTCATTTAAAAATCAACTGATATTCGCATTGCTTACTCAACTTTTTATATCCTTGTTAAGTACATGTGAGAGTAAAAATTAAAACAGCAGAAGATGAGTCTGAACCTGAATACAATTATTCTGTGTTTCACTTATTGCTATTCATTATCTAAATGTGCACTGGAATTATGGTCTTTATTTCTTCTGCATTATTTATTATCTAATGAGCACAATGTTAATAGTGTTCATTATCTGAGGCTTTGTGTTTTGAATCAGTTGTTACTGTGGCAACGCGGCTGCCCACACTTTTCGTGAGGTCAAAATAAGATTCACTGTTGTATGTCAACTTGTTGAGTTGAACTTGAAAACACTTCAATTAGGAATAAATTATATAAGACAGCAGCAGTGCAGAAGGCTTTATTCTAAATAAAGAGACAATCATTGGGTAAATACGGTATGTGAAGTATTTAAAGGAACAGTTTATTTCTGTCAGGTTGATTTGTGGCTACAGCTAGCAGCCTGTTAGCTTAGCTTAGCATCAAGACAGGAAACAGGTGAAAGCAGTCAGCCTGGTTCTGTCCAAAGGAAAGAAATATGCTTCAAGCACCACTAAACTGAACTTTTTATTTAACTGTTAATACGAATTGGGAATTCATCTTTTCAAAGTGTTAGAAGTGTTTATGTCAGGGTTGCCAATGTTGGGTACCTGGCTGGATTGAGATTTTGATATGGGTTTAATTACACATGCACACTAGATTACTGCTATTTTGTCAGTAGCGGGACCTTAGCATTTATATAGGATATATATACAATATATACAAATACACAATATTGGACACAGACTATAAAGGGCTCAAAGTTTCATTCACTAATGAAAGTCAAACACATGTTTGTTTCCACTGTTTTATTGTGTGCATAGGCCTGTCGCGATCGCAATTGATCTGCTTGAGCAGCTGTCAACTCAACATCGTAAATAACCAACCAAAAACAATCGCCGGTTCATCTTGTTTTGCGTGAGAATAGTTTGGGCAGCGTGAGAGCGTGAGATTGAGAGTGAAAGCGTGTGTCACACGCCAGATGCGTGAGAGTTGGCAACCCTGATGTTTATGTACTAGACTAGAGTATTTCTTCGGTGGATTTTCCACTGGTTGCCCTGGCTACCTCACCTTTGACAAGACTTCTTCAGTTTGTGCAAATTAAACCCATTAAAGTGTTCCTTTGTGAGTTTTTGTATGTCTATTTTATTACATTTGAACAAGCCAGGTTAGCTGTTTCCCTCAGTGTCCAGTCTTTATGCTAAGCTAAACTAACTAGCTGTTAGCTTTAGCATGATATTTAAAAGTATCTCTTCAAACCATCTGGAGAGACAGCAAATACACTGCCCCAGGTTTCAAACTTTTGTTCAAATGCACATTTGCTTCTGCTTTGACAGATACATCCAGTCAGATTAATAATACATTTTTGACGGAATATAAATATCTGTCGCAGGATCTTTCACAAGTGGCTGCACAGCAACACAACAATGAGGAGGAGCAGTTCAAATTCAGTGCATTCATGATTCTCAGATAGTAATTGAAAGTGATGAATTAATTAGATGACTAAGGCAGAGTGAGCAAGCCTTCTGGGGAGCTAAGATTTAAAGCATTTCATGACTAATCCTTTAAGCCAAGAACAAGAATACTTGGGTCATATATAAACGCCCGGAATCTAAAAATATAACATATTAGCTGCTTGTACCTGCAGCAGAGGCCAGCTGAAGCGGGGTCTCCGTGTAGTTCTCCGCCCCATCCTGCAGGGCGCCCTCCACATTCGCTCTGTTATCCAGCAGCAACTGTGGCAGGGAGGGGGGAAGGGGGAACAAACCAGGAGGGAGGGCAGGGAGGGAGAGACGGTATGTTACACTCATGTTGGCAAAACAGGAAAATCCTCAACTATGGGAAACCTAAACCAGCTCATTTAGAGATGAACTGTGGACACTAAACACTCTCCTACCCTCACTCCCTCATCAGCTTCTTATTGTTGGGGATGACATGCCTGAGCTGAGAGAGGAGCAACATGGTTTCTTGTTCTGTCCAAAAAACTGTGTTGATTAATAATTGAAAAAAATGCTCAGGGTGACGCTGCTCATCAGGCTTTCAGCAAGTGTCAGTTCATACAATAATGAATGCAACACAGTGTATTATATATTCAAAGAAAAAAACTAAACACTGAAATCAGGCTGGCCTCTGGAGGTATTGTTGGACCAATACTGAGATCAGTTCTGATGAAAAGCAGCGGGCTGGATGACTACACATGATAAAAGCATACATTAATACAAATATATATATATATAATAATTTGGAGAGTTTGCCTTTTCCTCCTTCACATAATTATTGCAGATATAGGATAAAGAATGGGAAATGGAGAGGATATATGGCATTTAATATTGTTATTAATATGATCATTATAGATTTCAGGGGTACAGGTTAAGGGTTACAGGTCAGAATTGTCACTACCTGCACAACAGGCACGTGTCCGTGTAACACGGCGAAAGTGAGAGGCGTCCCCTGGCGCGTTTCAGGATAAACTGAGGGGTGCTTGTTTACTGTGCTTGGCACCTGGGAAGTCATAGGTGAAGTTCAGGGAGAGAGATATACAGCCATTAACATTCACAGCTCAGGGTGGGAGATAGAGGGGGGAGGGGGAGCGAGAAGCAGTGTGCAGGAGGAGAAGTGTAAGCAAAGAAGGGCAGGGTGGCACAGGGAGAATTCCCCTTTTGAGTTTCACAGAAAACTCTTGAGCTTCTACGTCTCTATCCTAACCCTTAAGTGAATATTTTCCTAGTTATAACTCGCTGACCACACTATCTGCCGAGCTCCATCTTTAAAAGTGTTTCATTTCAAAGGGGAATGAAACTGGAGAGAAAACACAACATTGGCAAAGACTGAAAACACTGTGGAGACGGGCGGTGCTGACTCATGAACAAAGCGACATCGGAGTCAAACTAAAGAGCCATTCAGCCCTGATGCTGTTCTGTGATTTCTAAAGTGCCTTTATCACAGAGTAAATTGCAGAAATGATTCCTAAATGTTGCCAGGAGGACGGCCTATTTTCAAAAGACGTTTAATGTAATGTCACATCTCATCAGAGCGCTGATGCTAAACAACAGTGGGACTGTTAGTGTTGTTTTATTCACGCTGATGAATTATTAATTAGTTTATAATAAAACGCAGAAACCAAGACTGCAAAATATCATGACTCTAGAGAAGTATTTCAACAAAAGGTTTTACATAAGTGGAATGCTCAAGCAGTGTTATGCAACTTCATTTCATTCACTCAAGGGCTCAGTTCACCCAATTACAATCAGAAAGATGTTTCTCACTTGCCTTGCGTCGTATTGAGACATTTTGTTTTATATGTCAAGGTTTAAAGAATCCTGTCAACACCTTGATACAGTTGAGGTGATTGGCCAATTTACCTCAGTGACCTCGCACCTGATTTTTTTTACCACCACCACTATTTTCTAAATCCCCACAAAACCTTATGAGAATAAAGTCTGTGGAAAATGTTGGTGTTGTGGTGGAGTTTTTTTGTTATCCTTTTAGGCTTTTTAGCCCACAAAATGTAGAAATGACTTCCTTTGGCACCAATCACAGGTTACAGCTATTTTGCTCTAAACACCAAATGAAGCATGTTTAGAAAATAACAATGCTCTTTACTATAACACATCTAGACATAGCAAACATTTTCCAACTGCAATTGACTTTCAAAAATAATCTTTCACATGCTAAGCATCCTTGAAAAAAAGTGTTGATTGTAATTAAGTTAAACTGATTCTTAAAATATTTATTCCATGACATGGACTCCTACATTTCCACAGGCAGCACTTTGCTTTAGAGTCAGCACAGCTGCACTGAATACAGCCACTTAACAAATGGAGAAATCACAACAAAACAAAAAGACGGAGACAGAATCAGGATGTATATTAACAAAGCCTCACTGTTACTTTGAATGCTCTGAGCTCAACACAAGTGTAATGAATGTCATGCTTCATGTGGTAGCAGGTTACACTAAGTGCACACACTTGAACAACAGTAATGCATTATTGATGCGGTTCAAAGCTACTAAATGCTTACAGTGTAAAAAGTAATGAAGTAACTGGTACACTGAGGGACTACTAGTGGATTATAGAGTGGTGCAGTAAGGACCTGGAAGTTAACATCGCAAGGGCTCCGTTATGACAATGCAATGATATTTTTCCATTGCATTTCAGAATATTGCAGAAAATAAGCTTTGTGGCAAACACACATTTATTTATTATCCTTACACATATCGTTCAGCAGGATAATCTCCACATGTTAACACCAATTTATAGTTTTTTAAGAGTCAATGCATTCACTTGAAGTTAATTGCTAATGTTATAAAGGCTATAAAAAAACTACATGACGGTCACATAACTTTACGTTGCGACCCCTAAGCTAAAGGCGGCTAATGTTTTGGCGTGATGTTGTTAAGTAGTCTCATTTAGTCACTTGTTAGCATCCGATGTTTTTAAAAACACCTGTCGTGTATTGACTGACATTTTATGTTGTGTAAAGTAAACCTAAAAAAAGGTCTTTAGCTTGTATTTACCACAGACCTGATTTCATGCATCTAACAAAAACACGTTCAAAAACTAGTTGACTTCGAGAATGGGAACCGGAAGTGGTAAAATGCTGACTAATTTCTGGGTCTTTGGACTCATTCCTGCACCACTCTATTTTCACTCTATCCTTTATTGTTATCGGTGCACTTGGTGTAATAAGCTGCCAGGAGAAGGGCGAGCATGCCAACAGCAGGCGAAAGGGGGGGGGGGAGACAGAGAGGGGGGAGAGAGAGAGCAACACAAAGTGGGTTCATCGTTTTCACACAACAAATGTAAATGAACATTTTGGACAAGGACAAAGAATGTGGAATTTCTGTGACATTTTGAGGGTATCTATCTGGTGAGCACTGACCTCACTGTTGATGTCGGCGCCGGCGTCCAGCAGCATCTGAACCATGGCCTCGTCACCACGGACACAGGCGTACATGAGGGGGGTCATCCCCTGTGGGAGAGAGGGGGGGGATTCATTTATACAATGTACTTCTGTAGAGGAAGGGTGATGCTTTCAGATTGTTTGCAGCCAATCACAAACTGAATTTATTTAATTTCCAAATAGTAAACAAGCTTTATTGAGCCATTCTTTAAATCTGAAAAATCTGAAATAGAGATTTCCAGGGAATTAGTCTCAGTTGTAAACAAAAGTTATATTATGAAAGATATATATTCGAAAAAAGTAAAAAAGTAAATCTGTTTCACATACAGTAATCACAAAGACTTCATTGAGGATAACAGTGCCCAAAACAGAAGATTCAAGCAGAGTTTGGATCATCATAAATTAGATTAATTATATACATAAATAGTAATCAAGATGGATCTAAAACAGCTCCAGAATAATTAACTTTTTTGGATAATTTTTTTTAACTATGACATGGTGAAATTATCGTCCAATTAAAAATGACCAAAGACTTCGTTGTAGTACAATTACAATAACTACTTACAGTAGGCAACACTGGCAGATATAAAACAAACTAAATATAGCGTTTTATATATGTTTTATTGCATTTTTAGACAACATGTTCTCTCTGTGAAAAAGGTTGTTTGCTTTTTGTCTGTTCATTCCCAAATGACTGTGTTCAAGTGCTCTTTTTTAATGTACTCGGTTGCTGGAGTTGAGCATGTTGATTCATTATCACACTTAACAAACACACATGAGTCTTTGGTCTTTTCTCTTTACTGTAACATGAAACATGTGGATTTCAGCATGAAGCCATTTAGAGACTATGAGCCGATATTTTAGCATCGCACCAACGGCTGTGCTTGTTAGTTCTATAGGTAGCCAGGAAAAATCTCTCTTAATGTTCTCTATAGTTTTTAAAGAGAACATTTGAAGTGCCATATGTGCATGTTCACTGCTGGATACTAATCAGCCCCAAGACTAAAAATCACACTAAAATATGCCCGGTATTCATTCCTTACATCCAAATCCATGCCAATTACCTTGCAATATGTCAGAAATTATGTAGCAGTTGTTGGTGGATCTAATACATTTTAGAAGTTGCACTCCTAACATCATATTTTATATTTCTAAATTCCACCATATGCACACAGCGCATTAAGATCTTTTTTATTTGTTACAGACATAGTGTAAACTACATGAGGAGATGCTTGTACAATTAAACTTGATCCAATGCATGTCTATTCTGTACATTATTAGGACATACTGTACAACCTTATTGGTAATAATGATTTTCTATCAAATACAAGTACAATTGTCACAATTCAAAAACTGCCCTTCTCTTACCATCAATGCATTGACCACAATATTATCCTAACAATTACCCATTTATGATATGAATACAGTGAACTAAATAAGAGAATAGAAAAATTCTAATCAAATTAATAATAGACTAATTAATAAAGAGGTGTGACCAGAGTTCTGGTATTAATGGTGACCATCTTTCAGCACTATCTGTTTCTATCTTTAATCCTGCTCTGATCCTTTTATTGTATAACGCTTTCTACCCTGTCTCTCCATTGCTTTATGCTTGGGGGCTGCGTCTTCTGACATTAAACTGTTATACATATAATTGGTAGAGTTCTCAGTAAGGAAATCACATTTCTATCTGTCAAATTATCGGGCAGAGTACCATAAATATAAAGGGCTGGATCCAAAGTGAAGGCGATGCCCAACACCTGCTTGAGCCTGACATTATGTGAAACCTCATTTAAGTGTTATTGCAAGGTGAAACATAACAAAATAACTTTCTATAAAAGGCAGGTGGTGAGTTTTACCCATTCATCAGATGTACTGGTCTGAAACAAAACCGGTTTTAAAGTGGGCAAGCTGCCATTAAACAGCCTTCAATCATAAGCCAAATCTGGGCCATTATGTTCAACAAAGGCCTTTTATGACTCGCTCATAATAACACGGCGAAGCACTTTAAGACTGGTATCCCTTCGTGGTGATTCATTCTTAAATATTTCCTGGACGCCGATCCACTTAATCAGCAGACAGCTAAAGGGCGATATGTTTGGCGGACCCTGGTGATCATCGTGATGAGTTCAAATGCCTCTCAGCCGGGATGACAGAACACAGCTTTTACTTTATTGGCCATGTAATGCTGCCTGGCCCACTGCACCATTTATTGGGTTTTACAAGTGAATCAAAAGTGTGTATGTCACCACGGTTTGTTATTTATTTATGGAGTGAGGCAGAAAAGTGTCAAAACAACGTGTTAAACTCAAAAGGACCTGTTAATACTGAAAACAGTGAAACAATCTGACTGAATGTGAAATGAATCAACCTGCCGAGAGACCAAAATGGAGGTAAGGGCCTCTGTACACACATCCATTATTTATATGGGTATCTGAGTAGAAAGAGCTTCTTAAATGAACTCAAACAAGCAATGGCTTTCTCACCACAGAAAATCAGATTGCACTATAAACTTCCACTTAACAGCCCGAGGAATAACCAATATTTCCATTGACTGGGGAAGGTAGAAAATCCCAAATGCCATTAACACGTGGATGCAGTAAGACTGAATATCGACCCGAAGGTGGAATTAAACCCAGTCTGGGAAAAGTGTTGCAGTATTAGGCAGAGGTGGGGGACTCGAGTCACATGACTCGCATATTTTTGGACTTGAGACTTGCTTGACTAACATTGATAAAAGACTTGACTTGACTTTGACTTGGTATTCATGGCTTGAGACTTGACTTGAGACAGATGACTAGAAAGGACTTTACTTTTTAAAATTAAATATTTGCATTTGTTTTTGTATTGTACGGAGCCCCTAAAGGGCCATGAAAAAATATATACTGTATTTTATTTGCAAGAGAAAGTTACCGGAGCGCCAAGTAGGAAGTGGAGAACACAGGAGACAGCCGTTTCATTGCAGACTGTTATGTTTATGTTGGGAAATGGCAGTGCATACATTATTTTAGATATATTTAGAACTCGGACTCTCATTGACTTCATTTAATCGCTACAGCACCAGGAGGCAGCGGGACGTGTAACTCCGCCTGGCTGCTACTTTTTAACCACACACACCTCTACACACATCGAACTGCCCGATTAATCCCCCTATTACTAGTTTTATGAAGGAGATGTCCGGTCGCTAAGGCGCATGATATGTGTGTGTGTTTGTGCTCTGCTCAACTCTGTGTGTGTTCGGTGTGTTTGTGTGTGTCCGACAACAGCATTTGTTTTCAAATTACCATGAACAGTAATTTACACACATCTGGCCAACTCCATATGTATATGTGGGTGTTCCCAAATGAAAGAAATGTGTTTAATCTTAATGTCGCACTGTCTGCACACAAACACACGCACACATATCATGCGCCCGGTACATACACTATTGCATTGTATTGGCTTTGATGCAATATTTCTTTAGCACATACATAGGCCTTTTCTCAATCTCGAGGAAACTGGCTTCCAAGCCAATATTTCAAGGATACTACGTCATCGAGTGCAGCTGAAGGACTGTTCCAATCTCCAGCATACTTGGAATTCCACCGAGGCCGCATCCTTGGTTTGGGGGTAATTTCGAGGCTGCACCCAAGTATGCTGGAGATTGGAACAGTCCTTCAGCTGCACTCGATGACGTANCACTTATCTCACAACAGAAAAATCGATTGGACATTCCTGCAGAAAATAATCGAGCTGAGCCATGTGTTCTACGGGTGAATAGTGCGGAATTACCTGCAAATGTTGGCGCTCGTGTTTAATGGGGACAATGTGACCCCATTGACCTTGACTTGTCCTTTCTCGAGTAGAAGTGTGGCTTTTAGCAAATCAAAATGTCATCCAGTCCTCATCAAGCCTTTCGCTTCTTATTGGCCAGTCATTTCCTTAAGAGTTGCAGCAGTGAAGTCTCTGGAGGAGATTGTTCAAAGGTCGGGCATTAGGGGATTGAGCTTTCTTTGCTCTTGACTTGTGAAGCCATTCAGACGAAGGATTGGCTGCCTTTCCTAAAAAGGGATGGCATTGATCACGAATCCCATTATGCCCAGGGCTTGATCTCCAACAGGCCAGACAATCCTTTCTCCCATTTCTCTTCTGAAAAGACCTTTTTAAAATGGAGCTTTTCTAATGCAAGAGACAGGAAAGTCTGTATAATGGCCTATCCATTACACGCACATGCATTGGCCCGTGCATATAAAACCACATACTTAAAGGGCCAGATGTAGACTTGAAGCGTTTAGCCGATAAATAAATTAGTCAATCGACAGAAAATAAACGTACTCAATGAGGAATGAGATTTTTCTTTGTTTTACAGTAGGTGATAAAGAAAATTTGGATTTAGGTCTGTTTGTCTAACAAGTTAAAAATAAAAAATAAAAAACATCACCTTGGCTTTTTTATACATTTTTGAGAAAGACAGTTTGAGGACAAAACTATTAATAGAGAAAATAAATTGCTGATACATTTATATTACAATTAGCGTTATTTATTAAGTATTATAAGTGACACCATTAGATTTAGATTGACTTGAAAATGTCAGCAGCTGAGGTAAAATGACACCTGATGCATTGTTTTAAAAAACTTAAAACAAGACTTTGTTTGCGTAATGCACAGAAAAAAACCGTTTTGTTTCAGGGAAAAACCGTTTCAGGTATAGTAAAAGAGCTCCAATTGAAAAGTTTAAGGTGTACCAGTAAACCAGCAGGGTGTTATTCCCTGTTCAAAACTGTCACTCCTGTGAACTTCTGAAGTTGGAATAAAAGTGTCTTTGGTGGATGGATCTGGAAATTACTTTAGATGTAGTTTTACTAATGCTGTCAAACTTTTAGGGACTGTAAAGCTGATTGTCTGGCTCTCATTTCAGCTGAAGGATCTCAAACTTCTCTCATAAAAGCTTTTCCAAACCTTCTGATGAGTGCTGTTAAAATGCTCGATTATGAGGCTGAAAACATGGCTGTTTTTCTCGAGTCCCTTGTAAGTTGATTCTCAGACATTCTCAAGGTTATTAGCTCGTATGCCTGCTGGTCAGGCTTGCATCCATCTCCATCAAGGTTCAGTAAACACTGCGTAATGATTTGTTAGAAGCTTGGCAGCCTTCAGTCCACTGAACTCACCGACCACCTCAGCAGCAGAAGAAGAACAGAAACAAACAGATTCATTTTATTTATATTAAATACAATTGGTTTCATTTTTAGTTTCTTGCAGAGAACAGAGAATGGACGACACTCCAATACTGTCCTTTTTAAATATGAAGCTTGAGCATACAGACAGTTAGCTTAGCTTAGCTTAGCATAAAGCAGTTGGAAACAGCTAGCTTAAATCTGTCAAAAGGTAAAAAACACATCAACCAACATCGAGAGTTATACAGTATAGGATTCAAAGTTATAGTTGGTCAATTTCCATTATCAGGATTATCGGGAATATTCTAAATTGTTAATTTCAATAATCTGTAGCTGTCTATCATTGTTGAGAATTTAAAAATGTGTGTGTTTAAAAAATATATATAAATAATACCACTTAAGAAATAACAGAGCCACACAAACAGAAGACCTTATAATTTATGATTACATTATTTACATTTTTCATGATCTTCATAAACAACAAATGTGTGTCCAATCTGTGATGCGAAAAAAGTAAAGTTTCTTAACAAAATATAAGAATTATTCTGAAACATACCTGGAAGTGTGAACCTCGCTGAGCATCGCTCTTGTCGGTGTGGTTGAGAAATTGCTTAATTAACACGGCAGTGGGGGGCTTTAAATATGGGGAATATCAAAGGGTAGCATCTTTGTTTTAAAGGCTGTGTGAGATGTATTGATTGCTTTGTTCTGGGCTATGTGAATTTATTTTAAGTTTCCATCCTTTTTCTTGGGAGATGTGTTTTTTTGCCCCCCGTACAGACAGCTGTTGTTTGCAAATACCTGCAAATATCCTCTACATTATTTATGGGGACTTGCACGAGGCGACACAGGGGAAATTGTTTCTCGCTCGGATCTTAAAGTAGTCTTGTCGCCCTGACCCAGTCTCTGCTATATCCGCCCGACAGCAGATGAGGGAGCCCCAGAATAGAAAACACAGGTCATATCAGTTTATCTGGGATTGGGCTTCTCAAATATAATATATAAACACCTCCCAACTCCTGGAATTGCCTCGGGGTCCACAGGAAGATGTTGTTGAAGTGACTCAGAAATATATATATCTCATGCTGCTTCTCATTTTTTAGTCAGCACCCCTCCATCCCCGCCTCCGACTGACTTCTTTCTCAACTCTGATGTTTATTACTCAAACAGCTCCTCGGATCAAATATTCCTGTTTGGATTTTTTCAATCAGGAGGAGCCAAGTGTTGGTGAGAGATAACATGTTGAGGGAGTGGAAGGTGCGGAGAGGGAGCTGCAGACTTGTTTATATGTCTTGATCTGACAGGATGAATAAATCAGCAAAGGGTTCCCTGGCAGCCCGGGATTATAATAAACAATAGTTAGGGCAGTGGGGGAGATAAAGTTGGGGTGATGGAAACGATGGGAGGCCTTGATTGCGGAAAACTCTGTGAATTATTCAAACTGTTTCCCCTCAAAAATCACAGACTCTGGCCATGAATGCAAATATAGTTTTGATGATTAGAGGAGACTGCTCTGCTGCACCCTGGGACAGGAGATGGCTTTCCTTTTTGGAGGAATCTTGATTTGCTTTCTGTTACTCTGAAGTATTCTTTCAGAATTATTTGGGCTTTGCTTTCCCTGGAAATGTGAGTGCTAAGCATATTGTAGCAACACAGATGTGATGGTTGCTTTGCAGTTTTCACATTTCGATTTAGAAAAGTCTGTCTTGATCTATGACCTTCTGTTTTCTTTATTCATATATTCTGTTTGTAAAACCGATTTGCAGGTCAAAAGACAAGATGTAAAGATGAACTGGGCCAAATGTAGGTGCATGTTCAATTTGTAAAGGTCTTGGTTACATAAAACCACTTCAACAGCACTGTCTATATTTTAGTGTGAGGGAGCTCCAAATCAAACTTGGAAAAGAGTCATTTAAATGCTATTGGAAGAAAAGTTAAATGTATAAAAAGTTGTGGTTATATCCAGAGGTGGAAAGTAACTAAGTACATGTACTCAATTACTGTACTTAAGTACAATTGTTATGTTCTTGTACTTTACTTGAGTACTTCCGTGTTTTGCTACTTTGTACTTCTGCCCCACTGCAATTATTCAATACCTTTAGTTACTTCAAATATTTGAATTAATGATGTGAAATATAATTCACCAACTACCCTGCAGTATACAAAGTCATATATTATTCTGAAATAGACCAATTTGTATAATAAGTACTTTTACTTTTGGTACTTCAAGTATGTTTTGAACATTTTGAATGTAGGACTTTTACTTGTAACAGAGTATTTCTACACAATAGTACTTCTACTTTTGCTCAAGTACAATATCTGAGTACTTCTTCCACCTCTGGTTACATCCAAATATCTTCTCCTTCCTGCTAATCACCAATCACTGCTTAGAGGGGAGTCTTCTCTTCAAAATATAGCAATGTTCAAACAAAACATGCACTATGTTTAAATTAGTTCCGTTTGAGACACACCCAAATAGCAGCTGTTCCATCCTTACAGTCCAGTGGTTAAACAGTAATAGAAAAATCTGTTGTTATCATTATCGGAGGCTCCAAATAAAGCTGACCTCCGGGAAAAGGCTGTGGGAAGAAGAGGGGGCAGGACACTGACTGGGGAATACTGGAATTCTGGGGCTGGTCACTGTGAGGAGAGGACATGTTGGGAGGAATCTGCAGCTGGAGTGTTTGGTCTGACATGCTGGCCTCACACAGACAAATTGACTGAGTGCCTCCATGTTGTAATTAGTGTTTGCTGGGAAACGGCGGATCCCCCTGCGCCGTGTCATTAGGATTAGCACTCGGCGGGCTGTTGCTTCCCGTTTTCCTGTAGCAAAGAAAAACTCAATATCCCATCCGTCACAAGTCTCTCCCTGCAGCTAAACAAAGGCTGGCTGCAGTAACACCACCTAAATGGATTAATCATCGTCGGCCAGCATCATCTGCTGGGCCTTGTTTGGGGGGGGGGGGACAGAACACACCTGCGATCACATGGAAATAAACATTGCAACAATATCACATTTTCAATTCGCGAACTAGGAATAACAAATTGGACGTAAAGCCAAGAGGAGAGTGAAATCAAACTTCAAAAAATCACTGTAGAAACATTTTATTTCAAAGATGTTGAGCGAGGCTGCTATTGCAATCATTTTGATGTTATGAATAATTCTTTATGTAATTAATCAGCTTCCAATTCATTGAAATGTTGTGTTTATAACCGTACTGAGGTTTGCACCAACAAATATATAGTTTCCTGTTAACCTGCAATTTCTTCCCTGCTTTACTTCACACATGTATCCCCTCTTCTGATGCTCTAAATGTTGTGTTTCATCCAGTTTACTTACTCTGTTTAGAACATCAAACCAAAAGTGCTGATTTGCGTTTCCCACTGCTTCGGTAGACGTTTTTTCACAGCCTGCATTCCCCTGTTGTTTCACAGCGTTGGTGATTAATTTGACATCAGCAAAATAATAAGTGGGAGGCCGAAATGTGCTGCAGATAAAGAGATGTTAATATTCACCAAAAACGTGTTCATAAATGCTTCCTGTCTGTGCTCTCTTTGCCTTGCAGGTGTGCTGAGCCTGCCCGAGAGTTTGAACCTGCACCGCGACCAGCAGCGCTCGGGGCGGGGGGGCGAAGGTCAGGGCTACTCACAGGCCGAGCTGCGCACGCTGGAACAGTCGCTGCTCGCAACCCGGGTGGGCAGCATCGCAGAGCTGAGTGAGTACAGAACCATCAGTGTACCCAACACAGTGCCATTTAGAGACATGACCAAACTCACATCCATCTCTATTCCAAAATATTGAAGATAGCTGCAATAAAATGTGCTGAACTTTTTCTATCTAGAGCAAATGGATAGAACATGGACATCACCTAATTATGAAACTTTGGTCACATGATAACAGGAAGTCGTTTATATGGCCGGAAGTCACTCACATTGTCTTCAGCATCAGATGTGAATGGCCCTGACATTTGTTTGCTAAGTAAATGAACAAAGTTGCATTCTACCACTTTATACTTTCCTCAAGGTGTACAGTTCAATATGCTACCCCGATTCTTACTTCTCATTATACATATTTACCTTATGGAAGCACAAAAAACGGACTCTTCAAAAATCTATTTTCATGTACAGTGCTGTGTTGCTTTAACAGCTTTTACCAAGCATTTTGACATGTACATGTTACCAAAAAAGAATGAAAATGCCCGGATGACACTGCAAATATCTGAGGTAATGTAACATAATCCCGAAAATGTTTGCTGAATAAAGCGTGCTATACTAGGTAAGATATTTAAATGTTGATTCCGATGATCTTAGATCCAGTAACCTTCTCAGAAACATTTGTATGGAAAGTCGTGATTGCATAAGACTAGAAGTGTAGCAAGACCATCCCCAGAGAGATGATGGATGACATTTAATTGCTCCCTCTGGCATTTGAGGTATGCCAACTCAATCGAAAGTCACAACTAATAAGATTCATCTAATGTACCACACATAGCAGATCACAGACATTTCATTCTCTCTATATAAAACAGGCTAAGACTGATGTTTTTCTTTAATGATCAAACACCATCCTTTAGTGGAGCCTTAAACCTGAGATAAAACCTGCCTCTCTCAGAGCAGCCAACACATATTATATAGATTTAAAGTGACCCATAATGATCTCTTTGAATACTACATTTAAAATGTTAAACCTTTTTGCGGAAGTATCCTAAAACGGCATTAAATAGTGAAATTCAAAGACATTAAATATTGATGTATAGTTCAGCGTTGTAATTGTTATGCACAATACATCTGATCAACTAAAGAAACGATTTATTTGCCAAATAGTCCCATCAGAGTGAAGGAATGCACCCTCCCTGTTGTCATGGTGGTCTGACCCACCCTCCGCCTCTTTGCTGTCCCTTCGTCCATCTCCCCCTCCCTCCCCTCTGACTCTTACAGCTGTGCTGACACCTGTTTGTGAGTCACACCCGGAGACCTTTAAAACCAAGGTCGCCGCCTCAAAGGCTTTTAACCTCCGCTTGAAAGGAAGGACTCCACCTTTAACTCCCACTATCTGCTCCCCCACCCCTGTCCTCACCCTGTCCACAGTCACATATTAGCTCATGCTGTCCCCCCTAGTAATCTGCAATGTAACACAGTGTCCATGCACATCTTTCTTGTTTGTTCTGGGTCAATAGTGCATTTAAAACCAGCGATTCACTTTGCATCATCCATTTAAAGCAGGGATTTAGTTTCTGAATCAGTTGCTCTGTCACTGATTGAGCCTGTAAGCAGTTTGTAAAGCGTTGTGAAGCAGTTATATTTATGATGCTCTTGGATTCAATATAACCAGTTAGCTTTCCTACTGTCATTCCCTAAAGCCACGTCTGAATTTGGAAACTAAATTAAATATGCTATCTTTACGGATACATTCATGTATTTGTCATTTGACAGATCTGTTATTTCATTTTCTTCCAAATTTGTATGTGTTTGTTTTTAGTATATGCAACACCTTAACAGTGATGCTGCCTGTCAGGTCCAGGAGGGTCTTGAAAAACGAATTATTATTCTCTACGATCACCATGGTTATATACAGGTTTTTACATAAAAATAACATGAGAAGTAATAGCAAGATAGAAAGAATACCTAAGAACAATTTAGTAAACAAATTGAATTTTCTAGCGAAAGAGTTGAAGTGGATATCCTTTTCTTTATTGAATTTAGACAAAAAAATATATATAACAGACACTACAGTATAACAATGTTGATAAAACAACCTAACGACTAAAATCAATATCCTTTTTAAAAATGCAATCACCTGAACCAGTGTTTCCCCTACCATTGTCTTGGAGGGGCGCTGCCAACGGAGCCCCACGCCCCCCCCTGAAATTGAAGGTGTTTTTTTTGTATATATATATAGCACCCCCCTGCCTATTTACACATATAACACATCCATTAACATGTAGAGTTGTATTTATTTTCATCTGCTGAATGGAAGTCCAATATGAAATATCTTTAAAGCTCTGGTTTGGTCTCCACCCACTCCTGGAGGTTACATCTGGCTCTGAAGCAGCACTGTCCGTGGCATGTACCATGCAGCAGTAAAGTACATCTGTCCATCAGAAAGGCTGCACAGGTTGCTGTTTGATTCCTGTTTGATGCACCGTGTGTTGGACTCCCTCACCTCCACACTCCCAGACATCGACATGTGGCTCGTAACACGTTTTATGCCAGCTGCTGGAAGTCATTTTTGTGGATTCTTTGGCATAATATCCTCCTCTTGTGGCGTTATGTGGACAGATTGATCTACAGAGTACGATTCTCTAAGGATGACGAGTGTGAATCTGCTTCATCAAGTACATGAAGATTGCATTAAAGGTGCAACTTTTAGCATATTCTACCATCTGCCTGTGCTAGAAACGTAAAGGAGCAGATTTGCTAGAGCCCTCGCATCCTATTCCAGACACTTTTGTATTATTATTTATCAGAAAAAGGTGCACAAACCTGAAAGAGCAGTTGCCTGTTACCTAAAGTGCAGCAGTGTGATAGCAACCTCGCTCTCCACCTCTTTAAAGGATTTGTGTGTTTAAAGTCTTAACTACAGCAACAAATGTGTATAATTCCACAACATAAAAAATAGTCCCCATGAAGGTTCTAATTACTCCTATTTGACTCATGATTGCTTTAAAAAATCAGTTTTTTGATAGGTCTGCATACAAGCTACCAAATGAGAGGGAATACCTGGAGTCTCTTAAAGCTGTAACTGATATTTTAATTAAAAAACTATCTTCATCTGTATTTTAGAGCTAGGCAGTAAGAGGAAGTTGTTAAGAGTGATTTTAGTGAGAGACACTGCTAAAGTGTGTTTGGCTGTTAATGCACACTGGACATTTCCTCCTGCTGCAGCTCCACTTCAAATCAATGTGACATTACGTTGGCACTGATTGTGAGGGCCAGTTGGAGGAAGGTGGTGCACTGAAATATTCATCTAAACAACTCTGGCCAGAACACTTTTGTGTGTTATAAATTGAATTAAAAACACTAGGATTCCTGTTTTCATATGTTTATAGAAACCAGGTTACTGCCAAATGGTGAGAATCTGCATATTTCCTCAGTGTATGTGTAGGTTTGTAGAGGCTGTCTCAGCAGATGCCTGGTTTATGTACATAATTCAGCTAATGTCCATAATAACAAACATCATGCTAATGATAGGTTAATGTGCAAATGCTACAAACGCTGTAATATTACAGCAGAGACCAGAACAAACGGATGATGGCGAGCAGGTGTTTCACGGTCAGATGCTGTGTGCCTTCTTAAAAAGATGCTTGGTTTCTACAAATTACATTGTTTAGATTTAAATCAATTTTAAGCCGTTAGCTCTATATCTGAACAATAAACAAGATCACTTTAAAGTTAAGCAGCCACTCAGAGCTGGTTGTCGGGGCACTTTCACACCCGAGTTGCTCGATAATGAATGGATGATAGAAGAGGAACATTCATCACTTTATCCATAATTTTATTCTCTAGTGGTGGAAAGAAGTCATTTTTTTCTGAGGTCACCATTATCTCCCTAATCATATTTCATTTATTGGTCTGGGCTATAAAAGCAGATTGCTGATGGCGGAGTTGAGCTCTGTTTTTTTACACTACTCCTCATGTCTTAATGACACTTGCCATGAAGGATATCTATTCCCTGTGTGTGTGTGTGTGTGTGTGTGTGTGTGTGTGTGTGTGTGTGTGTGTGTGTGTGTGTGTGTGTGTGTGTGTGTGTGTGTGTGTGTGTGTGTGTCGCTGAGCTGACATATTGTGACCAGGTGTGGCGGAGGGAGGCCGTTCATCTGTCAGCACAGCGGCCGCCATGAGGGTCACAGAGTAGCCACTAGTCAAATAAACGGCGTAATGTAATACAGTGCAGGCCTCTAACAACGGGGCCCTCCATTCCTGAAGCTAGGGGGCCCCCCCACCACCACATAGGAAATATTCAAAGAATTCACTATTCTTAAGATTTCAGTTAAGAAACCGCATATTTGATTCTATTGTATATATGGCTGGCATTTTTCAAGCTATCAAGTAGCTGTTATTATTATTATTGTCCTGCACAATTAACAGAATTGCAATATCAAAATGTCAGTATGCGCAATGTTTAGTAAAGGCAAATTATGTTAAAAGAACATTCTGAATTATACTTTTTTTCAGTAGAATCCTGGCCTTCAAATGGTACTATACAGACTTAATAACAAAAACAAACTTATTTAGTCGCAACAGGATCATTTTTATATATTTTTTGGAGATATTTTGATATATTTAATGATAATTCCCTCTATGATCGCATCATATCACACTTGCATTGTGTCAGTCAAAAATAATTCTTCATACAATAATGCAGCATCTAACCAAAGATTTTAATTTGGTCTCATTAATATCAGCCTCCCTGTTTACTGCCCTGCAGCTGTGTCAGAGTTGGATTACAATACTGCTAATTAAAAAACATTTTCTACTGCTGCTGCTTCATATTAAAAGCATTGAAGTTGAAGAGCTGTTTATCGTGGGCTGACTTACAAAAACTCTTCAATTGTTACTTTTTGAATTGCTACTTAACTTAAAGGGGACCTATCATGCTAAATGCACTTTTGTACGTCTTTTATACATGAATATGTGTCCCCGGTGTTCCAGGGAACTCACCAAGTGTCAGAAAACACAACCCTCTCTATTTTCCTCCATACCCAAATCTCTTAAA